AAATGCTCTGTCTTACACATTGGCAAAAAGAACCAGAATACAAATACAAGCTGAGTGGACACGACCTTGCAGATGACCCTCACTCTGTCAAGGACCTTGGAGTACATATATTAGATCATATATATTAATGATCTAAGTACCAAAGCCCAGTGTAACAACATCGCCAAAAAGGCATTAAGAGTTGTAAACCTAATCTTGCATAGCTTCTTCTCCAGTAATATCACACTACTAACCAGAGCATACAAAACATTTGCTAGACTAATTCTCGAATACAGCTCATCTGTCTGAAACCCGCACTACATATTGGACATTAATACAATTGAATGTGTCCAGAAATATTTCATAAGAAGAGTCCTCTACTCCTCTGCTCGCAATCAAATACCTTATGCCACCAGACTTGAAATTCTGGGCTTAGAAAATTTAGAACTACGCCACCTTAGGTATGACCTAAGCATAGCTCATAATATTATCTGCTACAATGTCCTACCTGTCAATGGCTACTTTAGCTTCAACTACAACAATACACGAGTACACAATAGATACAAAGTTAAAGTGAAATGCTCCAAATGCGTGGAATGCACTACCTGACTCTCTGGTTTCATCCCAAAACCCCCAAAATTTTAACCTAAGACTGTCTACTGTTGACCCCATTCGTAAGAGATCTGTAAGGGGCGTGCATAAGCGCACCAGCATGCCTACGGTCCCTGTCCTAATGTTTCCTCTATTTGTATCTATTTTATGTATGCAATTCATGCTTATAGTTATATATATTATCTAATATGTTCTTGACAAATAAATAAAATAAATAAATAAAATAAACTTTGTGGCTGGATTGTGAGTTTGACAGAAATATCCGGCTGGTTATTCTAGAACACAAAATCGTGGACTAGGGAAAACTGTGCTCTGACAGAAGAAGACTTTTCTCATTTTTATATTTCTATAAAATTGCTTATATTGTTGATGCCACATATATTAATCTAAGGTGGTCCATTATTTATTGAGCAGCTTGCCTGCATCCTTGAATTTCAGTTTGTCTATTTTTTATGGCTGACATTTGCTTTTTTCAGATCTCCAGCCCTAATAATTCCTGAGCTTGGAAAACAATGGAAGATGGACTATTAGTTAAATATATACAGTGTTCTTTAATCTCAGAAATATGCTTTTTCTAATTTACTTTCCAGCCTGATTTTTTCATATTACACAGAATTTATGAAAAGATTTTGCAATATCCCAAGCAGTACGGTTTTTTAATCTCAGAACTAAACCACAAAACCCTGTAAAGAAGGCCAGTCCTATTATATTATTTTGATATTAGAGATAGGAGCTGAAAGAACATTTTGCCTGTGGCATGCAATTTTATAGCTAAGATGTCAATTGAACCAAATGTTTATAGTTCATAGCTGTGTCTTTTATTTTCTAGTTTTTATTCATTTTCCTTCAAAAAAGATTTCTGACCAGCCATCAGACAGCTTCAGGAGTATAACTTTAGAAGAGTTGGAGTTAAGAATTGGATTCCAGCCGTACAATTGTATATCATACAATGCAGGGGTGAAATCCGACAGGTTCTGGAGAACCAGCAGCGGAAATTTTGAGTAGTTCAGAGAACTGGCAAATGCCATCTCTGGCTGGCCCCAGATTTTGCAATATCTTCCCCCAGAAATGGGGAGGGAATGGGGAATATGCAGTATCCTTCCCCTGGAGTGGGGTGGAAATGGAGATTTTGCAATATCCTTTCTCTGGAGTGGGGTGGGAATGGAGATTATGCAATATCCTTCCCCTGCCATGCCTACCAAGCCACACCACACCACGCCCACCAAGCCACGCCCACAGAACCAGTAGTAAAAAAAATTGGATTTCACCACTGATACAATGTATATGCAGATTATTTTCTTCTTTCTTTGCTCCTGGCATACCTTATTATTTTAAACATTGCTGCAAACATATGCCTCTTACAGCAACTTTACAGTTCAGATCAATAAATTTTTCTGATAAAAAAAATCAAAGTTTCCACATGCGCATCAATAGACACTAAAACTCTCATGTCTGTAACCTTTAGGTTGGGTGAAATGGTACATCATATGATTTTTTTTTTTCCTAACCAAAGTACCTCAACTAAGCTGACTTTCAGAAAATGTTCAAAATCTGGGAGTCACAACTCCTGAGAGAATGAAATTTGGGAATGTGGGGATTCCCCACATTATTATTATTATTATTATTTTAAATTTATATACCGCCCTTCTCCCTGAGGACTCAGGGTGGTGTACAGCCAGAATTAAAAAACATAAAATAAAAATATTAAAAAACAATTAAAATATATATAAATTTGGCCCAAAATTAAAAATACAAACCAATTAAAACATTTAAAATTTCTTCTTAAGCCAGCCCGGCTTGCTGGAAAAAGTGGGTTTTAAGGGCACGGCAGAAGGCACTAAGGTCTTGGATTCTCTTTATCTCTGGGGGCAACTGATTCCAGAGGGTAGGTGCCCCCATAGAGAAGGCCCTCCCCCTGGGGGTCACCAGCCTACATTGATTGGCTGATGGCACCCTGAGGAGGCTCTCTCTGTGGGAGCGCACGGGACAATAGGAGGTCGTCGATAGCAGCAGGTGGTCTCGAAGATAGCTAGGCCCGATGCCATAGAGCGCTTTAAAGGTGATAACCAGCACCTTGAAGTGCACCCGGAAGACCACTGGGAGCCAGTGCAGCTCACGCAGGAGCGGTGTTACATGGGAGTGCCATGCTGCTCCCGTCACTACCTGCGCTGCTGCATTCTGGACCAGTTGGAGCCTCCGGGTGCTCTTCAAGGGGAGCCCCATGTAGAGAGCATTGCAGTAGTCAAGGCGAGAGGTGACGAGGGCATGAGTGACTGTGCACAGGGAATCCCGATCAAGAAAGGGCCGCAACTGGCGAATCAGGCGAACCTGACAAAAGGTCCCCCTGGTTACAGCTGTCAGATGTTCCTCCAAGGACAGCTGCATATCCAGGAGGACTCCCAGATTGTGAGCCCTTTCTGTGGGGGCCAAAGACTCGCCCCCAATAGTCAGTGATGGAGTCAACTGACTATATCGGGATGCTGGGAGCCACAGCCACTCAGTCTTGGAAGGGTTGAGCTTGAGCCTGTTCCTCATCCTTGGGGATGTGGTTTCTTTAAATGCTACTACTGGTTCAGCATTGCTTATGTGCTGCAATGATAAGCTGCAGTCATGTGGTCCTCATTTTTAACATTCCTGACAGGTTCCCACAAGTCCATAAGAACCTCAGTTCCCCTATACTTATACCACACTCCTTGCTCTATTCCCTATTAGCAGCACCCAATTATCTGCTTTTGGGAAGGGGAAGGGAAGCAAACGGATTAATTTAGTACAGGAGTGACAAACTCACATCGTCATATCATGTATTGGGACTTTTTTCCCCTTCACTAAACCGGGCATGGGCATGGGCAGTGCGTGACACATCCATCTATGGACTGTGAGTTTGACAGCCCAGATTTAGTATGTGTTGTGGTCTGCCAGCTGATCTGGCAGCAGATTTGGACAGGGAGGAGGTTGGGGAGGAACACGGGCCAGTCCTGGAGTCTGGAGAAGGTTCTGACAAGTGCTCTATGGCAGACGTAGAGATGGGGCTAGGGCCGTCTGACAGTTGTCAGGTGGCTTCGGAGTCAGACATCAGTGGGGCAGAAGAACAGCTGGATCCTGTTCCCAATGTGCTCATGTGCAGAGCTGCCAGGAGAAGGGAACAACTAAGGAACAAGGATCGACTCAGGAGTAAAGCCAGGTGGACAATGAATGGCCCTTCCCATAGGGAATAAAGCGGAGTGAAAGGGGAGGGGAGTTTGCAGGAGACAATTAGTTCAATTCATTAGGGTGAAGATCTGTTCCTGACTTCTTGCCAAGTAATTGTTGCTCCAGCGTGGCATTGGAGAGGTATCGACCTGGCAACTGTCCAAGCTTGATAAAGGTCTGTAGTTCTCATGAAAGACTGTTGGCCGGGACTTTGCTGAAGAGGAATTTCCCTTTAACCTAAATAAAAGAGGTTTCATTGGGACAAGGAGTCTGCTGTATGCTCTTGGGAAGCCTAGGTCAGAACACTATGTCAGTGAAAAGAAAAGAGATACTGATATAAGATCAGCTGCTTTCTAAACAGCATATTGATCACTGGCAACCATGTAACTTCCATGATAAGCATGTGTCTTAGTTTTGTGAAAAATTTCAACAAAATACTTCATATGTTTCATCTAACCTAAAACCTCCAAATTCAACTGAAAGAAATGTGTGCTTTCATTAACATTTTTAAACAACATTCCAGCCGAAAACAATTCTTAAATGTTGTGAAAATGTCGAGCCTTACACATTTTTAAAACAACATTTATAGCCTTTCTAATAGCTCATTCATACAGAATACATTGGTATGATGATTCCAAACCAAAAATGTTGCTAGCAATATCAGAAGAACAGCTGATCAAGTAACAGCCAAATCAAGTAACTGAAATTCATACCATTTTCCACTCACAATATCAAATGGAACTTAATACTTGGAAACTTCCATAACAAACCTACTATATTTATAGCTGATGCATAGCCACCTTTTTGCAATGTTCTTAAAATCCCTCCACTAAAGTACTGATTTATTGATACACAAGAGTATTCCTTTACTCATGAGATCTTATCAAGTTAGTGCAAACATATGCAGCCAGGACCACTATCAAAGTAATAATTGTTTATCATAATTATGTTGAATCAAGCATAAGGATGGCTAAAAATATCATATTAAGAAATTAGAAAAGTGATATTATTTAAGATGGCAAAGAATGCTTGTTGAAAAGGTGAGATTTCATTGTTATATATCATTTGGGAATTACTATTAAATAGAGAAGTCTTTTGATGCTTATTGCAAATGTAATTAGCCATTAGTAAAAGTTAATTAAATAATAAATTTAGAAAAACAATACTGATTTCCAAGTTATTTTATTACATAATTATCATCCACCTTACTTACTGCTTACCGATCAATAATGGCACACATATCAATGCTGATATTGGCAAAACTTCCCAACTTTCTTTGCTCTATTGCATGTAAATCCACCAACTGATCATCCACATGAATAAACTGCATGCAGCCCTGGAATGACCGCTGAAGAAAACCTGAAAAAAATGGAATAGTCAATAGCAGTTCAAGAGAATATACACTTGTCATAAAAAAAGAACCTATCCTTTTCTTTAACTAAATACATGCTTCTAGAAACCTATAAAATTGTGAAAAATTGAAACAGAAGACTTTCAAAAGGAAAGAGTATTCTTTTATGATAGTTAGAAACTTCAGCAGTATTTCTGCTTAAATTGTAAACATACCAGAAACTTAATAACATATAGTAAAAGTGTATTGTTGTTAATCACAAATCATCATATGAAAATGCTTAAATGCTTCATGCTTACAAAAGTTTAAAGATTTTTAGTTGCAATCAAATTGCAATTAAGAAATAGGTCATAATTGATTGGCCTAAGATTCAACTCCATATTAACAGTAGGCCAGATCCTGTTTATTTCAACAGGACTCAGCAAAGAAGAATTTCTCAGTGGAAAATATTTTGCCTGTTGGAAATCAAATCTCCCAACTGCAGAAGGGGCTAGTTTTGCAGCATTGTTTCAACAAGAAAAACCTGTCATCTTTTCTTAAGTTATTTTATTTTATTCTATATTAACAGAAACTATTTTCGTTATATTTTCCACTTAGATACACACTTATAATAAAATAAAAAATTGAAAAAAATGGCTATAAAGTATTATTTGTAATTTAAAATAAACTCTCAAATGTACATAAATTTCCCTCTTTTATATTATCTGTTCTATGATGTCTTATCTATTAACCACTTAAAAGAATTTTGTAAATGTTAAAAAGTTGCATACAAATAATATAACAATTCTTTATAAATATATAAATGAAAAACCCCTTCATTTTAGTCTAATCCATTCCCCTTTTAGTTCTCTTTCTCTTGGTATTCATTTTGATTAGTCTCTCAATACACATAGGAGTTTTTTTAAATTCCACTTTGGAAGATGGGAATGACTTACAATTCAAGACACATACAAAATGAACCAAGGGTTCAGGTGTTTGTAATCAAATGACAACATTTCTGCTTTCTAGTGATTTTAAGATAAAGAAGAAATTACTGCTACAGCTGTAAAAACATTCTTGTTTCATGAAAAAGGTAATTGGATTTAATTCTATTAAGTAAATAAAAACTGGAGGAATCACACTGAACTCAGTAGGTTCTAATAATCCAATAATCTAGTAAACCATCTCTGGTTAGGATGTGACGACTCTATATAGAACCATCACCTAATTCACAGGTTAAAGTTCTCCTGCACATTAATATTAAAGAATTGAGATATGCCAAAGTCACACCACTGAAATCAATGTAAAGAAAGTGCATCTACTCTTAAATACTCAGAAAATATCAGCAAGGTCCTGTAAAATACTTGTTTATTGTTTTGCTTTTTAAAGTTTCTCTTTTACCTTGAGGGCCAGCTGTAATACTGAGTAACATGCAATCGTTTATGAAGAAAGAATTTTTGCTATGCTTACAATATCTGAGTTACAGATCCCAGATACTAATTTAAAGCAATTTGTTTTTGTATGAGTGGTCTTTAGCCATGTAAAATAACATATAAATGTTGAAAAATTAATAAAAGTCTTAAAAGATAAATGAAAAGTTACACATAAAGTATTTAAACAAAGTGGAAATAAGATGAAAACCACAAGGTTTAAAATTGTCCAAGCAAAAATGAATAACATTAAATAGATATTCTTAGAATAAGTGAGCTTAAGTAGTTTTTAAAAAAATCCTTTAAGTCAGATAATTTGTCTGACGAGTCATTCGAAGGAATAGAGTCATTCGAAGGAATAGAGTAGTAATGATAATGGAAAAGTTTATCATTATTAAGTATGTAATGGCTATAATACAATAAATGACTAGATAGTGTCTAAATGTTAGTGGCTATGAGTGAATATAAGCTATTCTACCTTATAGAAGACTGAAAGACCCTCAAAGTCCCTTCCAGCCCTATGATTGTATGTTATAAAAGTCTATGCCCCAACTACAGGAGCAAAGTTAAAATGCACTGAGGAATTCTATGGCAAATTGTGACTGGTTATAAATACAATATTCCAAAAGGATATAATGATGCCAAAGTTGAAGAATACAGTAGTTTGGAACTACAGTACAGGAAGCTTTTGAGTCAGAATATAGGATAACAGAATATTATGAAGAAAATCAATTCTTGCAAGTATCTGCTTCAAGCAACAAAAATGGACAACACTGAAACCAAATTGGCTACAAAATAGAAAATGGAATAGAGGAGTATAATTAAATCAACCAGATCACTTCCAAGTGCAGATTATGAAGCACATCATGAATTATTGGTAGCAAATACATAGACTCAATTTTAAAAATTAAACAGTGAGCTGAGATGCTCTAGAAAGGGATAAAAGGTCCCTTCAAAACTGAAGCAAGAAAAATAAAACGGTTTTCAGAACAAAACATCATAACAGCCAGAGAAAAAGTACAAATTAATATCTTGGGCAATAAGAAAGATGAATGATTGAAGAGAATTATGCAATACTCTAGGGAAAAATATAGATCAGGAATGCCAATGGATAGAACAAAATAGCAAGAAAAAGAAAATGGGAGATGTTTTAAGACGATCAGATAAATCACAGGAAAAACCCCTGTAAGGTTTATAAGAGTAGTTTATAAGGTAACATAGAGGTAAATAGGGAGTTCAAAAGAATATCCTGGAACTTCTTACAAGTATATTAATACAATGAAAACATATTTTAGGAAGAAATATCACCCAGTATTAGTTTAGTGACAGAGTTTTATCATTTCAACACTATTACTCTAGTTTAGCTGGAAGCTTTACATGTAGCAAACTCATGGTTGGTGGCATAGCTTAGATTTCATTTTAGAAACTGATGTAAATATAATGTACTTTTGTAACTTATATTACAAATCAAAACTGATGTAAATATAAATCAAAACCCAGAATCGATAGAATTGTGATGGGCAAATATAGAAATTGAGTAAATAAATAAATTTATTAAGCTTCTGATTTTGAAACAATACTTCAGATTTTGAATAAGAGTTTTAAAAAAGAAATAAAAGTGATCTAATAAACGTTTACAGTTTTTCTGTGGCAGAGAACATAAATAAAATTTGTATATCATATTATGCACATAACATACTTTTCCTCTAGAGTCATCTTCTGGCTTAAGCTGAAATACGAGAGAGAGGATGGGGGTGGGTGGGTGAGGAGAAGTGTTCCCTTCCTTAAGCAAGCAGCACCAGCCAATGAGGGCATTTTTCTTTGACAGTTCTGAAAGCTCTCTGTCATAGCAACTAAGAAACAATCTACATCAGTCAGGAGAAGAAAAACAGAGGGATCATATACGGATTTCTCCATGGCATCCTCCGAGGAGAAAAAAAAGCCACTCACCCATGCTGCCTTACGTGAGAAATTACTGAAAGAAGAAGAGGTAGGACTTGTGTTAAGACTAATAATACAAAGAACAAATGGTATTGGTGTTTACTACTTGGATTCAGGAATCTGGCTCACCCTTATAGCTAGACTAAATAACTTGCTAGAGGTTTTCCCCATATATACTATTAGGAAGGAGTTGTGTCAGTTTATCTTAGTTCATAAACATAATCTGAATAATAATTTTTTTCATGTATGAAATGATAATTCAAACTATGATGAAAAAGAGGACTTCAAATGTGTTCCTTGGATCAAATTCTGCTATCAAATAACAATTTTACTAGGATTACCTGCCTTTAAATATGTACAATTTATATTTAATTATTGCATATTACATAGTTAATCATTTATTTATTTATTTATTTATTTCAATTTTTATACCGCCCTTCTCCAATTAGGACTCAGGGCGGTGAACAGCCAAAGTAAAAAACAGGACATACAAAATTTAAAAACAGTTTAAAATAATTAAATATTTTGGCCGTAAATTAAAACAACCCAATTTAAAATCAATTTAAAATTTAATTCAAGCCAGCCCAGCTAGTTGAAATAAATAGGTTTTTAGGGCCCGACGAAAAATCCGGAGGTCTGTTATTGTACATATCTCTGGGGGGAGGTTGTTCCAGAGGGTGGGCGCCGCCACAGAGAAGGCTCTCCCACTGGGGGTCGCCAGCCGACATTGTCTGGCGGATGGCACCCTGAGGAGTCCCACTCTGTGCGAGCGTACTGGCCGGTGGGAGGCTATTGGTGGCAGAAGGCGGTCTCGTAGGTACCCCGGCCCTAAGCCATGGAGCGCTTTAAAGGTGGTCACCAACACCTTGAAGCGCACCCGGAAGACCACCGGGAGCCAGTGCAGGTCGCACAGGAGAGGTGTCACATGGGAGCGCCTTGTCGCCCCCATAATCCCCCACGCGGCCGCGTTCTGGACCATCTGGAGCCTCCGGGTGCACCCCAGGGGGAGCCCCATGTAGAGAGCGTTGCAGTAGTCCAGGCGGGAAGTGACGAGTGCCTGAGTGACTGTGCGTAAGGAGTCCCGATCTAGAAAGGGGCGCAACTGGCGTATCAGGCGAACCTGATAAAAAGCCCCCCTGGCCACGGCCGTCAAATGATCTTCTAAAGACAGCCGTGCGTCCAGGAGGACGCCCAAGTTACGAGCCCTCTCCGTGGGGGCGAGTGATTCGCCCCCAATAGCCAGCGATGGCGTCAGCTGGCTATATCGGGACGCCGGAAGCCACAGCCACTCGGTCTTGGAGGGGTTGAGTTGGAACCTGTTTCTCCCCATCCAGGCCCGCACGGCCTCCAGGCACTGGGACATCACTTCAAGGGCATCGTTGGGGTGCCCTGGGGTGGAGATGTACAGCTGGGTGTCATCAGCGTACTGATGGAACTCCACCCCGAAGCCACGGATGATCTCACCCAGCGGCTTTACATAAATATTGAACAGAAGGGGCGAGAGGACCGACCCTTGTGGCACCCCACAAGCAAGGTGCCTCGGGGTCGACCGCTGCCCCCCTGTCAACACAGATTGTGACCGGTCAGAGAGGTAGGAGGAGAACCACCGCAAAACAGTGCCCCCCACCCCCACCCCCGCCAACCGGTGCAACATACTATGGTCAATGGTATCAAAAGCCGCTGAGAGGTCTAACAGGACCAGGATAGAGGAGCAACCCCTATCCCAAGCCCTCCAGAGATCATCCACCAACGCGACCAATGCCGTTTCCATGCTGTGCCCAGGCCGGAAGCTGGACTGGAGCGGGTCTAGATAGACAGCTTCATCCAGGTACCGGGGAAGCTGTTGCGCTACCACACTCTCAACAACCTTCGCAACGAAGCGAAGGTTGGAGACTGGACGATAGTTAGCCAAAACAGCCGGATCCAGAGAGGGCTTCTTGAGGAGGGGCCTCACAACCGCTTCTTTCAAAGCGGCCAGCAGGACCCCCTCACTCAAAGAAGCGTTAACAATCTTCTGGAGCCAGCCTCGTGTCACCTCCCGGGAAGCCAGTACCAACCAGGAGGGACACAGGTCCAATAAACATGTGGTCGCGTTCAGCCATCCCAGGACCCTGTCCATGTCCTTGGGAGCCACAGGATCGAACTCCCCCCAGATAACACTTTCAAGACCTGCCTCAGTCATCCCGTCTGGACATACTCAGTCAGAGGCCAGCCCTTCCTGAATCTGAGCGATTTTGTCATACAGATACTGCACAAAGTCCTCAGCTCAGCCCTGCAAGGGGTCATCCCGCACTTCCAGGTGGAGGAGGGAGCGGGTCACCCTAAACAGGGCGGCCGGGCAATTATCTGATGACGCGATAAGAGCGGCAAAATAGCTAGATTTCGCCGCTTTTATCGCCACTAGGTAGGTCTTAATATGAGACCTCACCAGTGTTCGGTCGGATTCGGAGCGGCTGGTCCTCCAACTACTCTCCAGGCGTCTTTTCCGGAGCTTCATCTCCCTGAGCTCCTCAGAGAATCAAGGAGTTAGGTGAGTTTGGTGCCAGGTCAGAGGCCGCAAAGGCATGACACGGTCCAAGGCCCCAGCAGCCGCACTATCCCAGGCGGCCACCAGGTCTTCAGCCGAGTCATGAGCCAGAGTCTCAGGAAATGGCCCAAGCTCCATCTGGAACCTATCAGGGTCCATCAGGCGCCTGGGGCGGAACCACCTGGTCGGTCCCGCCTCCCTGCGGCGGGGTGCAGCGGTTAGAAAGTCCAGTCGAAGGAGCGAGTGGTCAGACCATGACAAGGGTTCAATGGCTATATCCCCTATATCAAGGCCACTCAACCACTGACCAGAGACAAAAACTAAGTCCAGAGTGCGTCCCCCTATGTGAGTAGGGTCATGAATTAACTGAGTAAGGTCCATGGCCATCATGGAAGCCATGAACTCTCGAGCCACCTCAGACATTTCACAGATAGATGGCAGGTTAAAATCCCCCATAATAACAAGTCTGGAGGTGTCCACTGCCACCTCGGCTATAACGTTAAGCAGCTCGGGCAGGGCCGTTGCCATGTGGCAGTGAGCCAGGTACGTGACCAACAAGCCCATCTGTACTCCACGACCCCACTTCACAAAGAGGGACTCACATCCGGCTATCTGTGGAACAGTGGTCTCCCTTGGATCCAGACCTTCCTTTATAATAACCGCCACCCCCCCACCCCTGCCCTGAGCCCTTGGCTGATGAAATACATGGAAGCCTGGTGGGCATATATCCACGAGGGGAACTCCCCCCTCCTGGCCCAACCAGGTCTCCGTAATGCCCGCCAGGTCTGCCTCCCCCTCCTGAATAAGATCGTGAATGAGGGGGGCTTTATTAACAACGGACCTGGCATTGCATAACATCAGCCGAAGGCTCTGGCCCTGAGAATCTGGACAGCCTGGGGAAAGAGAAAAGCATTGGGGACCGGAGTGCGCAATCGCTCTAAGATAGCGAGTGCGCATTCCCCGAACATGATGTGGTCCCCAGCTTCCGCCATATCTGCCCCTCCCACTCACTATACTGATGGAACAGCCCTCTTTAAATCGAACTCCAACCCCCTCCCCGACCTCCGGTTCTATGTCCCTAGTGTCGCAGCCCTTCGCTAAGGCTGGTCTTGAACCCGGTGGATTTCCCCCAGAACCCACCCTAATCCCCCCCAAACCCCTTAAAATTTTTGTTAAAAACCCACTTAAAAAACCCCTCAAACTCTTCTTCTGAATCATAACATCTCAACAACTGTTATCAATATGCTTAGTTAAACTCTTTAATTCTTAAAGATGTATAGACTTGAGATTCTTGCAATTAAATCCAATGTATGCTTGAATATGAAATTAAAAAATAATTATTGCTAGCAAACGAGCAATAATTTGTTTTTTTGTGACAAATTATAGATCTTATTTTATATTTTAACTCACTTCCAACTTTCATTAACTTTAATCGATATAGATTATACAAATAGTGTTTCTGACGGTGGTGTGTTTCTACCAGTTCACCCTAGTTTGGGCGAACCGGTAGTGGTGGTGGCGGGAGGCTCCGCCCACTTGCTCAGATGTCATCACGGATGCTCTGCGCATGCACAGAAGGTTCTACAAAGCCAACCATGGAACTACTTGGTAGTTACTACTTTAAATCAGGCATGTCCAACCCCTGTCTGCAAGCCACATGCAGCCATGAACAGCAACTAATGTAACTCCACAAGATCATAAACATGTAACATTATTATGTGATTTATATATATTAATTATATTGTATATTTGATATGTACAAGACAATATTTTTTCACTCAGCGGGACCCAGGAAAGCCAAAAAGGTTGGACTTTAAAATGACACCCAGCATTCTGCTCATTCTCTCATTCTCTCTATAAGGAAAAATGAAAAATAGTTGCTTTAAACTAAACCAGCTATGAAATATGGTCAGCCATGTCTAATCCTTCTGTCCCCAAACATAGGAAGATAAAAAAAAAAGAACAATGTTTCTCAGCAGCACTATGAGTATTATAGAGAACACTTTCATATCCCTCAAGTTTGAAAAAAATATTCTTCTTTCAACTTACCTCAAAATGATAAGAATAGCTTATTTTTTAATTTGCATTTCATATTTCTAAACCACCTGTCTCCCTCAGAAAGGGGTTCTTGCATTCTTCCAGCTCATACCAAGAGTGCACAAAATTTAGCATCCAGATAGCAAGTATCTGGATGCTTTAAAAAGAATTGCCCAATTGCTGTTCAGGAGTTTCAAACCCACCCTATACTCAGTTTTAAGGATGAATGAAAAGATAGTAGAGATGTTTGAAAGCTCAAAATATATTTTAAGTTGAAAAGACTTGTTCCTTCCATTAGAAATATTTTAAAGTCAAAATGGGGTTACTTTGATAACTGATTAGACAAACGATTTTGAATTAAGAATAGTTGTTGCTAATTTGAAATATTTTGAACTGAAAAAAAATTGGCATAACTTTGATAACATAGTGCTGTATCTTATGTATTATTGTGTGTGGAAGGAGAAAAGTAAAGAACCAGAAGGTATGGAAAGTTAAGAGTCTCATCAGTAGAAAGAGTCTATCCTCCAAGCTTTAAGATTCTTACAGCAAAATCACCTTCACTGTAAGTCCTCTTGCCCCATAGCTAAGTAGAAAGTAAAGTGACTCAGCTGCTCAACTGAGTTAATGAATTTCACATTATAGTAAAGTAAAAAAAATAAAATAATAAAACTATCTTTTGTTCTATTTCAGATGCTGGCAAAATTTAAAGAGTTTTCTAAATTTCTTCAAAGGTAAATGGATTTTGAATGTCTGCTTTTTAATTGTAATTAAAAGCCCCTGTTCTTTTAAGTAGATAAGTTATTTTTTCTCTTCTAAAACTGACATATGACATTAATTTGTTTTTACATTTAACCTGTCCTTAAAAAATCTGCTGCATGAGGGTGTTTTTTTGTTGTTGTTGTTTTGTTTTGAATATAGGAAGAATGTATAGAGGAAGACAAAGATTCTGGAAGAAGGATCTTTATTCATAGCTGCTATATATACAGTAGCTAATTACACATATAAAATGTGGCATAAATATATGCTTTGGGGGGAGGGAGTTGTAGAATCTTGACAGAAAGCATCTAGAATACACTGAAAGAGAAAAGGATTAAAATCCAGTTCCTCTGCTATCAGTCACAATTTTGATTACACCTCATCCCAGGCAAAGGTCAGCTACCTTAAGTAGTTATTGACTGGTGCTACTTAAATATCTTGTGATCTCCAAAGAACATTTTTCATTTAAGAATGAAACACTGTACAACCTTATTACTAAGTTATTGCTAAGTTTTATTAAAATATACTTCCTTTAACTTAATACTTTTTAAAAAGTAATTTGGTCAGGAGAAATTACAAATGGAGATTTGTAAATAGACAAATTGCTCATATATGGACATTTCCTCTTTGAATATAAATTGCACAGCTCTGATTATAATGTAGCTTCTTGCAAGAAACAGAATTTTAGCAGTTGTTTGATAAATTATTGTATCAAAATATGTTACACTATTTATGTTCCACATTATGTCCCACATCACACCTATTCACCTAGCTGGGAACGTGGCCGAGTCATGTGCCTGCAGCTGAAATCACAGGAAGACAGATGTTTTGCAAGAAGCGGGAAGAGGCACCAAGCAGAAATGAAAGAAGAAATGCACTATGCTAATAAACAGCTGATGATGGTAAAGTTTGAAAACTTTTAGAAAATATGAATTTATTTAGTTGTGAAAATACTCTTAGTCTCCAGTTTCTCAGGGCAAAGAGCAAGTTGGGCATCTCCCCAAGTGACCAAGGTGCGCGCAGCACCAACAAGGTGCCATCCCCACCGTTGCCCTTACCTTCTCAGGCCAGGCGAGGAGTGACTGGGAGGGGAAGGCGAGGGGCGGGGGCAGCCAGTGGTGGGTTCAGAGAGCTTCATTTATCTGGGAACCTGAAATGACTCTTGATTTAAATTATTTGGTAAAAAGCACCCAAAGAAGAAGAAGCCTTGGTGACGCAGCAGACTAAAGTGCTGTTAAGTAGCACCAGCTGCCTGCATTTACTGCAAGTTCAAATCTCATCAGGCTCAAGGTCGACTTAGTCTTCCATCCTTTCAAGGTAGGTAAAATTGTGGGGATTGTGGGAGTAGGGTTGTCAGGTGTCCACTATTTGAGCGGACAATCCACTTTTTTCACATTATGTTCACTATTTTTTTTCACAAAATAGTGGACATTTTTTTTATTCAAAAGCTTTATAATGAAATGGTACGTAATCTAAAGCTGTACAGTCTAAGAGAATAAGGATAGGAGAATTGCGTTTTGTCTTTTTTTTTTCATAAGTTAGAATGAGACAAAGATCGAATGCTCATTGCAATAATCACATTTTACACAACAGCGCAAAAAATGCATTAAAGCAGTTATCTTTTGATATCGAAAATGTAGTGCTGAACATTTTTGCTGAATTTTTGAATTCTGCGAAGAAACGAGAAGAGTTGAAATCATTTTTTGAGTTTTGCGAGTCAGATTCCATGAAGTTTTGCGCCATGTTCCAACACGTTGGTTAAGTTTGTTTAAAGCGGTTGAAAGACTTCTTTTAAACTGGATACCTCTAAAATCGTATTTTATTTCTCTTGGATCTGATGAGTGCCATAAGGTTATCTGGAACCTTATTTCGGATCAGGAAAATGAACTCGCAAAGGACGATGAACCAACAATTTCAGAATTGTATTTATATTTCACGCACTTCTTCATGTCAATAATGCAAGACACTCTACTGAAGCTGGAAAGCAGGAAAATTCTTGCATGTGATCTTCACATTATCATGTGTAAGCTGTATGATTCTTTGCAAAAAAAATACGATGAGCAGTTTTTTGGAATGAAAGTTTTATTTGCCTTACGTAAAAAACATTTGCCTGAGAATGCCATGCAAAAGTTCAAGAAAGAAGCCATCAATGTGTATCAAAGAGCCATTGCGTACCTAGAAAAGTGGTATAATTTCACCAATTCAGTATATGAGACGCTAAGTTGTTTCAATCTAATTGATGACAATAATCCTCCAACTTTAGAAGAAATGACGAACATCTGGTTATTATCACCATGGCAAGAAGAACTTCCACCCAACACTCTCTTCGATGAAATTTCTGCCTTAGAAGAAGTTTATGTTCATCTGCAGGGCGATTCATCCCTTGATAAGTGGACGTACTTTTTCAAGAAAGACCCAGCTCCGAGTTTACTGAAACTGTTCCAGTATTGTGCATCAATTCCGGTATCAAATGCAAACGTTGAACGAATTTTCAGTGTCATGGGAAATTTGTGGACTGACGAACGTAACCGACTGCTTGTACCATCAGTTCGAAGTGAACTTTGTATATTTTTTAATATTTCTCAACGTTGTACTGAAATTAAAGAATTATTCCTTAAACACAAAAAATTGATCAAAGCTGCGCAGTCAAATAAAAAATACACACGACAGCAAAGTAAAATGTAATTTAATATTTTACATATTATTATATTATATTTGATGTTTTGAATTTTAAGTAAAGTTTTGAAGTGATTATTTTAATACGTGTTAAAATGTTTGTAAGAAAATATATAATTTAATTGTAATTTTTTTTATTTTTTTTTACTACTTAACCCCCCCCCCCCCCTTCGCTATTTTTTGGAAGCAGACCTGGCAACCCTATCCATGTTTCCAGTGTCTTTCTCCCAGCTTGGAATTGAACCAGATGGATATTCTTCCAACACAGGCTTGAAGTTTATTTAGATATCTGTGGCATGTGCTAATTTTATTGTGATCCTGGCAAGCTTGGGAGAGCAGAGACTTGTCTCTTTACCTTTGCATTTTGTAGCCCAAGTATGCCCACCCACTTTCTGGAGAGCTTAAATGACCTCTCTGCTAAAGGTTTTCACTTTATGAGCAAGAGTTGGCTGCTGATAGTTATTGTTGCATTTTAACTATTTTAATTCCTCAAGGTGCTCTGGCACCCTGCCTGATTTTGTAACTCTGGGTTGCAGATATTGCTGAATGGTTTAGGTTTCCATGATGGCTATGGCTATCATTGATCTTCAGTGTGTATTCCAATATTTCTAATCTAATGATTGGTTGGGCATTTCTAATCTAATGATTGGGCAGCTTTTTGCAAGCAAAGAAGCTTTTTGTATTTTTGTACAAGTAATCCTTGATTTACAACAGTTCATTTAGTGATAATTCAAAGTTACCACAGTACTGAAAAAAGTAACTTATGACAATTTTTCATATTTATGACTGTTGCAGCATCCCCATGGCCACGAGAGGCTGGGCGAAGTGAAGCGCCCCTCGATGAAAGTGATGTCAAGTTGGCCATGACCACCCAGTCACATGACCACCCAGCCACGCCTCCCAGCTGATCATTAGGGCAGAGAACCAGTTGTTAACTTATTTGAATCCCACCACTGCCTGTATGCAATAAGTAGAACCAAAACAAAAGTTTACTTTAATCATGATTATATTATTCTATGTAGACTAAGATCATTAATCTAGAGATCTACCTTGCAAGCCTACTATCTATCGATTGTGTATGGAGTACATAATGAATGTACAGGCCCAAATGTAAACATATTCATTGGTTGAACTGCAAACCAACAAAAATAATATGTAATAATTACAAAGAGACAGACTTATTCTAGTTATATCATTAGGCACTATACATAAAAATATTTATGATTGTAACAGAATTAATTTATATGATTTGTAAACATTTTTCTCTATTGATTATTTTTAGCAGCTAGGGAATGAGAGATCCAGTCCATGGCTGGTCCTTTGTGGTGTACTGCAGGCTCAGTATTCTCTCAACTCCTTTTTAGTATCTAAACAAACCTATTGGATCAGATCATTTGCCATCATACAATGAAATACCATCAGTATACATTCAACCATTTCATCTAGCTATATGGTTATGCATGCCTATAGCCGTCCTTTCCAGTGAAAAAGCAAATCCTTGAGATAAAATGCTCAGTAAAATGCTTTACTATATAACTGCACTGAAAGGGTTTGGGTCAGGTATGTAGCAGGATTAGTTGGAAAGTAAAAAAAAGATCTATATATGCTATAGCAAGCAGCATATTATTGTGCAAAAGATACAGCAAAAGACCAAGCACTAGAATAGAATAGAATAGAATAGAATAGAATAGAATAGAATAGAATAGAATAGAATAGAACACAACACAACACAACACAACACAACACAACACAACACAACACAACACAATACAATAACAGAGTTGGAGGGGACCCTGGAGGTCTTCTAATCCAACCACCTGCTTACACAAGAAACCCTATACCATTTCGGACAAATGGTTATCCAATTTCCAGTTTTGGAGCATTGCTTGACTTCCTCTTCTTTGTGGCAACCCCTGAGATATTAGAACACTGCTATCATGTCACCCCAATCCTTCTTTTCATCAAACTAGACATTCCCAATTCCAGCAACCATTCTTTATGTTTTAGCCTCCAGTCCCCTAATCATCTTTGTTGCTCTTCTCTGCACTCTTTCTAGAATCTCAACATCTTTTTTACATCGGGGTGACCAAAACTGGATGCAGTATTCCAAGTGAGGCCTTACCAAGGCATTATAAAGTGGTATTAACACTTCATGTGATCTTGATTCTATCACTTTGTTTATGCAGCCTAGAACTCTGTTGGCTTTTTTGGCAGCTGCAGCACACTGATGGCTCTTATTTAAATGGTTATCCACTAGGATTCCATGATCCCTCTCACAGTTTCTATTATTGAGCAAGGTACCTCATATACTGTACCTGTGTATTTTGTTTTTCTTGCCTAAATGTAGAACCTTACTTTTTCACCACTGAATTTCATTTTGTGAGATAGCCCCCAATGTTCAAGTCTGTCAAGATCCTTCTGTATCTTAAATCTATCTTCTGGAGTGTTGGCTATTCCTGCCAGCTTGGTGTCATCTGCAAATTTGATGAGTTCCCCATCTATCTCCTTGTGCAAATCATTGATGAAGATGTTGAAGAGCACTGGGCCTAAAACAGAGCCTTGGAGTACCCCACTGCATACTTCTCTCCATGTAGATGCAGTTCCATTGAGGACTACAGTGTTTCCCCGAAAATAGGACATGTCCCAAAAATAAGGCCAAGCCTGATTTTTGGGGTGGGCCTAAATAAACACCTCCCCTGAAAATAAGCCCTCCCTGTCTCACACACACGCACACACACACAGGTCCCTCACCCCAAAAGCCTCCCAAGGCAGCCACATCCATGCAAACTCCTGCACCCCCTGCCCCTTTTGTACACCCACAGCACCGACTGTATACCTTGAGTGCCTGCTCCTGCTCCTTGGTGGCAGCCTGCCCGCTCCTGCCCCCGCGCCTAGGCGCTGCATCTACATAACCCATGCTACCGAGTGCCCACCACAGCAGCCCCAGCGCAATCATCGCTGCCCTGGGACTTCCTTGGCAGGGCAGCCACCGGCGGCAGAGAGGCCTCCATGCGCAGCAGGCAGTCACAGAGGACTACAATGGCAGGCCTGGTGCATCCACAGCAGGGCGAGGATCTCGGTGGGGATGACTGAGGCACTGCAGGTGTTGCTGCTGCTGCTGCTGCCCAGTGGCCTCCTGCAGCCAAGCTCAGCTGTGGGCAAGGAGCATTGGCCATGGCTGGACCAGCCAAGCTGTGTCTGTTGGGGCTGCCCTCAGCGTGGCTGC